GGAAGTCTGGGGAAAGGCGTTTCAGAAGCCCATGTTCTGGTATGCAAGGACATTTAGAACTGGTTACTGAATAAAGATGATCTCTTTCAAGCACCTTGGCCTAGAGTGATAACAGGACCACATGCAGGAGTCCTCTATGTTGCTGGTTCTCTTCCCTTGAGGACCAGGTGCTGTTGAGAGGACTTTCAGTGCGAGAGCTGTTGCAGAAGACTTGCAACAGGAGATGATGCACAGCTGGTTCCTCCACTGAAGCTGCTGAGGACAGTAGAACAGCTGAGTAAACCATGGTGAGGCCCCTCCTACCCAGCCCCTAAATAAACCTGAAATTGTTATCACAGGGTCAGGTGGAGGAGCCTGAGGACAGGATCAAATAGCACTTCCCAAGGGACTGGAGATAGATCGGCCCAAATGCACTTTAGGACTCTGGGATTATGTTATCCCCTGCCACCAAACTGGGAGTGGGGTTTAGCAGATGGGGAAGTGACACGGTAAAGGGGAACTTGCCTATTGGACCTTCACACTGATGAGTGGGAAACTGAGTTAACAGACTGCTGCCAAATTTACATGGTGGAATATTTTACTTATTACCCATATAACTCTATTATTGCTAGGCGTTCCCGAGTTGATGCTATGTTCCTTTCCCCCCAGTAGAGTTTTCCTTGTTTCCTTTATACATTTGATTTTGACCACCATCTTTCCATGTTCCCTGCTTCTTCCAGCCTTCTGGAAAGAGTTCTTTTTTGCTTGAAAATTTTCATCTTTATTCTTAGAGCAGAGGAGAATTTTTTGGATAAACTGAGCTATTTCTGAATTACGAAATCATGAAAAGTTAGTAGTTTTCAGTAAACAAAATATTGCAGTCCTAATTTAAATAATATTTGTGATAAAAAATACTGGAAACAAATAAAATTTCTTGGAAAAAATGAAAAATTGGTCTGTTTTGAACATGCTGAACTGAAACAATTTATAAATTTCAAGGTTTTTATTTTCCCTCATGAAAATAGGCTTTTATTGTTTGACCAGATCGCTTCTTGGTTTGATAAGATAGATCCTCCTTACAAACATCTGTTGTAGGTTGTGCTGCTGAGTAGATAATATTGCTTTAGAATGCAGGTCTACAAGCACCTTCTGTTATGATGGGTTGCTCTGGAAGATGTTATTCTCCTATTGTTCTGTAGCAGAATCGTACTGTACTGATGGTGGTTACAGTAGCTAAACAAGGCAGCCTTTCTCAGTGTTGGAATATGACTCTGAATCAGTGGGTTCTCGGTGGTTATTTGTGTGTGTTGTTAAAAAAAGGGGTTACAAAGATATTTAAAGATAAAAGAAAAATCAGTATAGAGCTTATAAATAGTGTAAGTGATTTTTAGAGGGAAAAAAAAATACTGAAAGTTGTAAAGAATGTCCAGAAAGGCTATCATGCAAATGTCATGTTTTCAAGTCCTCTGGGAAATTTTTGTACATCACTCATGCTCCAATATCTCTGCATGCTGGTCAGCAAAGGCAATTGTGGTGATTATTGTTGAAAGCTGCGTCACCCCAGGGGCCACTACAGCAAGCCACTTAGTTCTAAGAAAGGACCAACAACGATAAATGGCTTAACTATAGCAGATAGCAAAACATTCTAGCTTATAAAACTAAGCCTTGAACCTTGGAAAGGCCACGTCTATGAAACTATCACATCCTTCACTTCACGTCTTCCTCCTATTTATGTGCCTCATCTGGTTAAGATATAAATTAATCACTTTTCTTTTTAAAATGTTTCCACATACGGCCTCTTTTGTTGTTAAGGCTACAGGAAGTCACCATTTTTTATCTGCTATATAAGCCCTTCCTTTCTTCAACCTACATCTACTTATTTATTTGCTCTGGGTGAAGTTTACCCTATACAGGGAAGCCACCACAAGGCCTGTGCACCATTTAAATCCCAATGTAAATTCTCTTTTGAAGATACAAATGTGACTGATGTGATGTATTGACTTTATGCACACGGGTGAATTTTACCCTCTGTGTCTTTATTTTTCATTCCTTCCTCTGTTCATTTTTCTCTCACTCATTCTTCTTGCTTCCCATTCTCTCTTTCTTTAAACAAAGTGCCTGATGCAGGTCTTTTATGCCTTTTCCTAATTAGCTGCTATTACCAGACCATTTGTTAGAGGGAAAATGTTTGGCCAAACAAGAATAATGTTGTAACAAGGGTGGAGTACATTTATTATTTTATAAAATCCTTCCAAGATTATCCTCTTCAATTTTAGTCCAAATGTTTAGCCACAGAAAAATAAATAAAATAAATAAGTAGAAAATCTCAAAGGGTAATGCTGATATAAAACACAAAAAATATTGTTCATCTCCTTTTTTAGCTACAGATTGGTACACAATTGAATGGAAAACCAGGCCTCTTCAACCTTCACAATTAATAATGCTCTCTTGATATTTCAGTAAAGATTTAAGAGCAAAAGGAATGATTGTTTGACCATGTAACTGATTTTGGAAAGATAATAGGCTAGATCCTCTAGCATGCTGCATCTGCTTTGCACCACACTGTCAACATAATCTGACTTCACATCCTGATTAACTGCCTGAGGGAGGATCACCCTGCTGCAAGAAAAAATATTCTACAGGCCTGCAGCTGATGTAGGGGCTCTTACACCAGGCTCTCTGTGCTGCTGATGTAGCAGAGCAAAGGGTGTGTGGTTAGATGAAAGTGGGGAACTGGTTGAGGCAACCCCACACAGCACCACTCCATTACTGAAATTTTGTGCCATATAGCCACTTTGGCTAGGTGTAATTGACATGACCCAGGGATCTTGAATCCAGGCCTGCCATTGGTACAGGATCAGCCACACACCAACCCTCCACCTGGCTGCCTGCTAGCAATAGGTTACTTGCTCATAAAGCTCAGCCTCGGTGTGATGCTCCAATTGGCGGAGTTCCAGAGAGGCTGATTGGCCTGCTGGCCCTACTTAAAACAGCAGCAGGAACAGGAAGCTGTCTGAATAATTGGGCTCTACCCTATTCTGGACTATGTGCATTGTGCTTCTTGCTACCCACTCCTGCTTCCCCAGCTTGATAGCCTAGCAGTGCATCCCAGCTTGGCTCGTGGCAGCAGACTTGTGTTTCCCAACCCCTAGTTTAATCTCCTTCCTCAGGCCCTGGTATCCTGACCTGGCCTGACTCTGGTTTCTGACTCATAGTTCTGGTCTCCTGCTTCTGACCTTGCTGTATCCCAACCCAGACAACTCATGACTGTGGACACTGGCTCCTATTACTAGGTTTGGCCACCTACAACCCAGCTGTGACAGTAAGTAGAATTCTGTAAATAAATGAAAAATTGGGGAGTGGGGGAATTGTTTTGGATCACACCAAAAACATTTTTTTTCAAATGTTTGGAAAATTAACAAGTTGGAAAAACATACGTTTTGCTTCCAGGTATTTTTTAATACTTTGAATTTTTTTAAAATAAAACTGAAGGAAATTTCTAAACAAAAAGTCATTTTGAACTGAAAAATCAAAATGTTTAATTTCAAAGTGTCAAAATGAAATGATTAGGTTTTTTTCCTGAAATTTTGCTTTTCATGCAACCAACATGAATTTGTGGAAAATTTTAGTATCAAAACAATCTGCATTTTTTTCTGAAAAGTTCTCACTGAAAAATTGCACCCAGCTCAAGATGTAAATTAGAGCTGCTTTCGGGAATGTTTACTGAAACCGTGAATTTTGTGGGATACTTGTGAAAGTGTATGCCAGATACATATGTTTGCACATGTTACGTGATCATGTGAGTCCAATCAAAAGAGCTCAATTTTGGATAATAGCAGCAAACTGCTCCTGAACAAACTACAGAATTGATGGCCATTTCTTTGATGGCTGAGTGTTCAGCTATTATTGACTTGAATTCTGCATTTACTTGTTTTTATGGCTTCTCATATGAGAAGCAAGTCCAATCCCAGATTTGCAAATGCAGTTGCATGTCTTGCAAGTCTTTCAGGGGAGGCTTTGAGTCATTGGCCTTGTGATGTGCTCTCTTCTCCTGCAGAGACCTCCCACACACCACTTCTCAAAAATGGACCATGGCCTCATGGTACAGACCTTTCCATCTGGGTCTGGCCAGTGCAATGTTTTCCCAGGTTTAAGTGTCTAGCGTGTATGACTTGAGGTTGGCCTTTATGGTATCTTTACATCTGAGGATGGGTTGACCCTGACAGAGGGTTCCCAAACTCAGTTGGCTGTAGAACACCGCTTTCAATAGATGGGAAGCCTCCATGCAGACCATGTGTCTGACCCACTGAAGTTGAGCCCCTATGTGCATGATTTTGCTGCCAGGGACTTAATACCTCTCAAGCACTTCAGTGTTGGGGATCCTGTCTTGCCACTTGATGTTGCTGATGGCTAATAGGCAGTGAAGATGGAAACTCTCCAGCTATTTGATGTGGCAGTGGTAAAGCATCCATGTCTCACAGCTGTAGAGGAGTGTGGTGAGTACAACAGCATGGTAGATTTGTATCTTGCTTCTGAAGCAGATTCCATGCTCCTTCCAGAGCCTGTGGGTGAGCCTGCCCAATAATGAATGATCTCCTCATCAACATGGCATTGCTGGAATGTATGCTACCCAGGGAGCAGAATTTCCTGACTGAGTTGAGGGGCATGTTGTCAGTTGTGATGATGGGAACACAGTGCTTATGATGTTGCTGGTGATCTGGTGCTGGATGGTGCATGACCTCCATCTTTTTCAAGCTGCTTATAAAACCGCAGAATTTTGAGGCATGGGAAAAGCAGTCCACAGTAAGCTGAATGTCCTCTAGCATGTTTTGAATGTGTCAGCAACAAACAAAAGCTCTCTTAACAGCTGCTCAATTACCTTGGTGCGGGCCTTGAGTCGCAGTAAATTGAATAGCCCTGATCCTAATTAAACCAAATGTGCATGCATCTGTCAAAGTCCTGATATGCAAACAAGAGCATAGCTGAAAAGACAATGGAAAAGGGGACTGGAGTCATTATACATCCTTGCTTGGTGCTGTTGGTGACAGGGAATGCTTCTGATGAGTCACCACACTCCATGATCATGGTCATCATGCCAGTGCGAAATGAACAGATGATAGCAATCATCTTCTCTAGACAACCAACTTTATGAAGGAGTTTCCATAGGTCCTTACAATTGACTGTGTCAAAGACCTTAGTCAGGTCAACAAACACCATGCACTGGTCCTTGCTCTGTTCACGAGCCTTCTCTTGTATTTCTTGGGCTGCAAAAATCATATCCATAGTGCAGTAACCAGCATGAAAGCCACATTGACTCTGAATACACCGAGTCCACTAACAGCATGTCTACATAGCAACTAGACACCGGTGTCTGGCCTGTGCTAGCTGACTCAGGCTCGTGGGATTTCGCCTGTGGAGCGGTTTCACTGCTGTGTAGACTTTTAGGCTGGAGCCTGGGCAATAGGACCCTGAAGTGTGGAGGGTCCCAGAGCTCAGAATCCAAGCCCAAGCCCGGAAGTCTACACAGCAGTGAAACAGCCCAGCAACTTGAGCCCCACAAGCCCAAGTCAGCTGGCACGGGCCAACTGCAGGTTTTGTTTTGTTTTTTTGCCTTGTGGACATACCCTAAGTGCGAGACAAGTCTGTTGAGGACAACCCATTCAAGGATCTTCCCCATCTGTACACAGCAGTGAGATTCCACAATGATTGTCACATCTAGATATGCTTCCTTTCCTTTTGTATAGATGGATTATGAAAGCATCCTTTTACTCCTGGGTCATGGTACCCTGTTACCGTATAACCTTGAAAAGGCTGGTGAGTTTCCTGACCCGCTGGGTACCTTGACATTTGTACACTTCAGGAGGAATGCTGTCAGGGCCTGGAGACTTGCAGAATTATGTGGCCACTAATTACTTGTTACAAATTATTTGTCCAGTTTCAGAAGGCTACATGGCCTATTTTTTGACATTGCCATCTTAAAATCCCATCAAAAGTGAAACATTTATGTCCTCTGTATTGACTTTGGGGTATCACAATTTGGCCTTATATATACTATCTATATTGTATATATTACACAGATATACTTATTGAATTAAAGTTCTACTACATGCTTAGGATACCTGGAAACATTCTCTTACTGAGTGGATACACAGTTCAAGGGCTAGAGTAGACTATTTGTGGAATTAGTACAATAAATATATTGCATATTGGACCATATGTCACAAACATTAGTAAATAAAATAGATGGTTTGATTTTTTTTTAAATTCCTTTTTATGTTGTGCTGCAGGGAAACAGAAGAAGATGTGAAATATTTGACCAACTTCCACTGGCCCATACTTTTCGTATTGGTGGTTGTTGTAATTAGTAAACTAATAATTTATTCAATGAATTTAGTCTTTATTTTGAATCTTCTGAAATGACTATGAGCAAGATGTGATTACTATGAATTCCTTATTTAGACTCACTTGCTGAATTCTTTACCAGTTTTATTTTTACTCTGTGGATGGATCACAGTGCATGTTTGGTACATAATATTCAAGCTGTGATAATGTTCGCTGTTATTGGTCACCTATGTCAAATGCTATTGTTTCCGTCCTGCTCGCTGATTGAATGAGCATAACTCATGACCAGGTCACCTTGAATAAGCCACTGGTCCATTGAATTTCACAGTGCATGGTGGCAGTTCAGGGAGAAATAACGAGCACAAACAGGGTTAGGGGATTTTACAAAATTTTAAACCTTTTCCTTTCTGGGCCACAGACCTTCCTAAGGAGTAATTACTAGAAAAATTAGATTTCTGACTGGAGAGTTTAAATTTAATTTTATATCACATTTTCACAAAGCAAGTGTATATCCAGTCTTAGCTGTGAAAGTGCTGACAGATACTTACTCAATAAACCCCTACTAACCAACCAACCAACCACAACAAAAACGTGGAAATTAATAAAATCTAAATAAAAAATAAATCTAAACCAAAATCTCTACCTCAGTTTTTTACTCCTATAAGGGAAAAGTGCCAGAGACTTCAAGAAATCAATTAGGGACTTCACTATTGATTCTGCCTGGAAGGCACCCAGAGGTTATGATGATGGGCACAATATGGTACCCTAAAATAAAGTAAGGTAATTGCCTCTGTGCAAGGGCTCTGGCTAGGTATTTTGGGAACTCTGCTTCCCACTGGGTCGATTAGTATTCCATCCTACATAGTATACCACTGAAGTGGGTTTTAGCCCATGAAAGCTTATCCCCAAATAAGTTGTTTGGTCTCTAAGGTGCCACAAGTACTCCTCGTTCTTCATTCTGCTACTAGTTCTCATGTGTTGGGAGTCATTGAATCCTCAAACTTTTTCCAACAATGGCCTTCTGCGGGCAATTCTTATTTGAAACACATGGCGTCTCTCTCCCTTTTTCATCATATCTTATCACACCTCAGAATTCCTGGTTCCTATGTATTTATGTATGGCTGACATGTAGTAGTTTGACACACCAAGGTAACCTAGTGAGGGGGGCTTTAAACTAGGTTAAAAGAGGGCAGGTGACAAAAACCAAGAGTTAAGCATTAAAAGGTGACCTTAACAGAGGGTTAGATATTGTGGGGTGAAGGAGGCAAGGGAGGACATGAAAAATTACAATAGGGTCATAGGAGTAACAAGAGGAAAATCAATGGGGGAATCTGTTCAACATCTTAGATGTCTATACACAAATGCAAGGAGTATGGGGAATAAGCAGGAAGAACTGGAAGCATTATTGCATAAGCTAAATAATGACTTAATTGAAATCACAGATTTGGTGCGATATGTCTCATGACTGGAATATTGGTATATTGCTCCTGCCCTGCTTTCAGTCCCTGCATGTACCCTATTCCCATTCTGCTCAAGCCTTATTTCCAAACCTGCTCCTGCTGCATCTACTGCCTGCTCTGGCTCTGGGCCCTGTTCTCCCCTGGCTTCTGGCTTTGGTCCTTGGCTCCACCTTTGACTAAGGACAGACTCTGAGTTACCGCCAGCTCTGGCATTCGGTTTCTGTCCCTCCAGTACTGATCCTTGGCTCATTCCTGGACTGTGTCCTGGTGGACCGGTAGGCTGAACTCTTGTTTCAACCACTAGGCCTGACCACCCACAGGCCAGTTGGCTACAGTTTGAGCAGGCCCTGTAAAAAGCTCACTGGCATGGACCCCACTCAGGCCAATTTTTCCCTGGTGGAGCTGGTGTGGGCCATAGAGAACCTACAGGCACAGGTATTCACCTTGCAGATGTAGAATGCAGCCCTAAAAGCCGGTCAGTTGCATAGTTTCCTAAACCAATGCTGGCTCCTCTTCTGACTATGCCCCGAATCATTCCCCATAGACCATGCCAGAGTAGGGTTCGTGGTTAGTCTGTTCTCTGGGGAGGCCTGTGCCATAAGTAACACACATCAGAGCATGGTGAGCAGCTGAGGAGAACGAGGTGTGGACCCTGAGCAGAGAGGGCAGGGAGACAAGGGGACTTTGAAGGTCAGACTTGGTGAGGGGGACATGCAGGGGCGGCTCCAGGCACCAGCGCAGCAAGCGCGTGCCTGGGGTGGCAAGCCGTGGGGGATGGCCTGCCGGTCGCTGTGTGGGCGGCAGGCAGGCGGCTTTTGGCGGCATGCCTGCAGGAGGTCCGCCGGTCCCGTGGCTTCGGCGGCGGGAACGCCGACAGCGCAGCACCGGCGGACCTCCTGCAGGTATGACACCAAATCTGCGTGACCAGCGGACTGCCCGCAGGCGCACCGCTGAAGGCTGCCTGCCTGCCGTGCTTGGGGCAGCAAAAAACATAGAGCCGCCCCTGGGGACATGAAGCTGACAGGAGAGACAATACACACTGATAAAGGAGGGAAAATAGTCATTCTACAACATGGGTGTGGTGTTCACTGTGTTTCAGGCAGAAATACTGTAACTGCACATCAGAAAACATAAGAATAATTGACAGACTCCATGTGTGTACGAGCGACAGCTCTTTCCTTCTGCCTAGTGCTTGGAGGAAGAATACATATATCCAATATATCAATGGCACTGGCTGATATTAGCATTATCTAGTTAGGTCAGGCGCATGACTTGGGTTTTGCAACTTCCCATGGCAGTTGGAATTATCACAAAGGTAGTCCCTGGGAAAGCTCTCTGCTATTTTTGGAGTATCCACTCTATTCTCTAATTGATAGCAATCATGCATTCATCTCACCCAGCTTACTTATTAGCACACAAGTGTCAAGAGGCTACTTGGTGGGGAACAGGCTTCCCAGAAAGAGGAGGTTTTCAAAATGTTGAGTGATTATATACTGAGGGAAAGAAGAAGGAATGCAATAATATATAAAATGCAAAATCAGTTAGTAGCATGGAGCAGCGAAATCCTCTTTAAAGATCCAGCCCACTCCTCCTTGGTAGGGCAACATGAGACTAGGGTTTGTTCTTTTCATGTGCTACAATGCTAAGAATTCTTTTAGTTCTGTTTCTTTATTTTGAGTTCCTAGGCGTTGAGTTGCTGAGAGACCTCCCCTGGGTAACAAACATTTGCATGCTAACATAATTGCAACAACAGTGAAACTCCACACATAAAAATACAGAATGTGCTTTCAGAACTGCAGAGTTTGCCTTTACTACATAGCAGAGGGATTAGAAAGCAAGTTGGCTCATATGCATGTGTGACATTCATTTGGAACTGTCCTCTCCTATTGCTGACGGCATTGACCATGGTGTCACTATATCAGCCTCCTCCTACACTCATTTGGCTGCAGCACATGACCCACGGTCACCTCTGGTCACATGCAGGATATGCGTGGCAGCTGGAGGATGCTAAACCATCAACCTCTGGGATGAACTTTGGCAGCAGCAGCACATGGGCTTGCTGCTAGGTCTCTTGCTGGCCTCTCATATGGCGTGTTGCCTGGCTCCACTAGCGAGTGTTGTCTGCAGCTGCCTTGTGCAGAGTTAGGCTGCAGAGCCTCCCATGTCTTTCTGGATGACATTTTGCTTGGATTCACTTTTGATTGGAAAGAATCTTCATCTGATTTATTTTGTTGTTGCTGGAATAAGAGAACCCACCCACTCAGTCCAAATTACATTAAGATAAGGAGGTAGTTTCCCATGTATTGTCATGTATTTGGTGCTGACATGCATTGGCCTAGTCACTCAGAGCCTCTTATGTCTTTTCACCATGACTGATTGCTGAGATTTCGTTCTCCAAATTAGTCTTTTTTTAGTAGAATATTTTTTTCTGAAACTCAAGGGTCCTATCCTTAAACTAGCTCTAAGTCATTTGAAGTCAAT